TGCATCCTCCGGCACATTATCCTCCACCTCCGATTCATCACGCGTGTCCTTCGTCCCGGTTTTGTTCTTGGCTCGCGTCTTCTGCGGAGGCGCATCGCGTTCTTCCGACGGCGGCGGTTGTTGGCGTCGCTTGCTCGAGGGGGTGTATTCGAATTCGCCGTCCGCTACGACGGGCTTGTCGGTCGGTTTGCTGCGCGACCGTGAACCAGCCCCGCCCGTCTTGCCCGACTTCGAAGCCTTGCTGCGCTTGGAAGGTTTGGCCGCGGTCGGTTGCGACTCAGCCAGCTCGTCGTTGGAGACCGCTGCAGACTCCGCCACCGCAGGAGCTTGTGCTTCGCTCGCGGCCTCTGCGGGCGGTTCCTGCTCCTCCGGTTCATCCTGCGGTGCCGCTTGCACCGAGTTCCTGCTGCCCTTGGGCCTGCCCCTCCTTCCGCTCTTCTTGCTCGAGCTCTCCGGCTGCGGTTGTGCATGGGTGGACTCGCGTCTCGGTGGTGGCGATGCCTTCAAGTCCGTCGATTTGGACCGTGGCCTCCCCCGGGCCTTTTTCGTCGGGCGGGCGCCGTCGCGTCGTTCTTGTGCGCCGTCGGCCTGGATCATGCTCTCGTCGTCGGAGCCAGCCAGGCTGGACAAAGCTGCAGCTGCCGCCTTTCGTTTCGGCATTTTCGCGGTATATATAGGAAGAAATGATTTCGTGTGATGGGAAACGATACGTGCTGCGACGCGACCTCGGGGGTACACCAAAACCTCGGCGGATAAACAACTAAAACCAAAGCGGCTCCAAGCTATGCGGGAGTCTGGGAGCTTTCTACTTGTTCGATCAGCACCTACTTCTCAGAGCTTTCACCTCAAGACTTAGACAAGTATATTACCGCTAAAAAAAACAATGGTTCTGCTAAGTCACAAATAAGGATCACAATGACAACCCGACCATTCGACTGCTTGGCGGAGCTGCCAGCGCGTCGGCGCGGGAGAAAGTTGTGACGATCCGATGTGTGGTTGTTTGCACTGTTTGTTCCCGGCATTGCATGTTCTCCTCGCTACAAAGTCACAGCACTTCGTAGTCATTTTCTTGGGTTGAGCATTCGCTCTACTGTAATTGATCTTGCCTATTTAACTGACTGTCTACGCTTACATGAGGTGTATGAGCACTGTCGCATCATGGAAGATTAGTAAGGAAGAGATGTAGGGAGTTATAAGAATCGTCATCTAAGTGTTAAGTATATTCTGTTCTGATCGCAACTGCCGAGGGAAAGGTAATCTAAGCCGCACCCCCCCCCCCCGCGCCCCCGGCGCACAAACTGCTCTACCATGTATTCCACTCTCCCCCCAGACTCTGATAACCATAAAGAGCCGAGCATCATGCCATCACGAAATGTACACTTCTAAAAGGGCTGGCTCTACGCCCAATCTCCACTTCTGTCAACCACATGGCCCATCCCTTTCCTGAGCCTCGACTCCGTGTATCGCCGTGAACCCAGTTGCTCCCCTCCAAGTTTTGCTTAGTGTCTTCTGAAATCCGTACATTGACACAGTAGGAGTCCAGAATATCAACACTAAGTCCCTTAGCTTTTCCATAATGAAACCTCTCCAATCCCTCAATAGTCTGGCGCTGTGCGGGTAGGGCACCGACTCTCCCCCGACCCATCCGAGCCATAAAAACCACTCAAGGGTCGAATCCTTGCCCATGCTACGCCCAATATGAGAGCACCGCTTGGGCCCTTCGAACTTTGGGGGGGGAAAAGGCCTGTTCTGTTCATTATCTGAAGTCAAGTCGGGGCCATTTGGACCGCCCCGTTGTGGTAGGTCTAACCGATGGCCCGTTCGGTACTAGCTGCGGGGACCCGAATGTATACACTTACAGTGGGATAGTCAGAAGCCAGCAGCAGATTTCTAGCTACTTACTACGTAGTCGCAGAGATTGGCTGCGATGTACATGGTTGAACCTGGCACTTTCGCTGGAGGTGCTACCGCCAGGTGGGCGGGCTGCAGTCAGCATGGGATTTTTCAATCCAGGGCGATGCCTTTGTCTGCTCTTCTGGCCCTTCCAAGCTTGGAAAATGGTCGGTTTTGCATTATTCTCTGTGCTGGACTGGGTGAGGTCTGGTGATGGATGGCAAACGTGTTTTGGGATGCTTCAGCAATGATCAAGGGTTCTTGCGGTGAAAATGGATCGATTCACCTGAGACATAGATGCAACTGCAGTGATGGGATGGATGAGGCGAGGGTCGATGATAAGTCCATACACGGTACCCTGTACAGAAGTCGGTTGTTCAAAAGTACTGTACAGTCCTTTCTGTGAGTGGCTTTTCGGTTCGAAAGCCCAACTCCTTACGATTCAAAAGCGACGATGCGATGCCCCATGCAGGTCCCGCCTTGCTCATTGCTCAGCTTCTCCTGCCAGATGGCTCTGATCGATCCATGCCGGCTCCTGCGAGTGCTGGGTGTACCCGCTTGGACCTCGTGAACTCAGGGCTACCATCGAAGGGGTGGGTTACTGCATATCAGTGGCGAGCGCATACAAACGGGTGGAAGTAGGACGTTACATGGCACTTGATAGATGTCGATGCGGGGATTAGCAATTTGCATAGCATAGCTGGTTGTGGTCGAAATTCACGGAAAACCGTTGCCGGGCTTGAGAGCACAACTCGAGGAACGGTTAGCGGGGAGGCTACACACATACAGTACGGAGTAGACTACAACGTGTACTTGACGGGAGGGGGGAAGAAGACCCACTACCGGTGCCCGGCAGGGGCCGTCCGGATGTCTGTTGTTTTGACTTTGGAGCACAGGAAGAGGGCATCACACCATGACCATGACCAAGAAACTTTCCTTTTTGGACATGCTAGACGATGGTGACTGTCAGAGCGCAATGCCGGATAACAGAACCCAATTGATCCATGCAAAGTCATCTTGGATGATGTTTTAGTTATGCGAGGTCATAGGCTGACAAAAGCAGAGCCGAGACTGTGCATGAATGCATTCGGGCCGTTCGAATGAAAAAATGCTTTAGACTACAGGCTTGACTCTTGAGAGACTCGAAAGGTGAAAAAGGTGGAAGGAGGGTCCCGTTTGTTCTCCACAATCCACACCGATTCGCACATTGGACTCCTGAGTCCTGAACAAACACGGATGGGTCTTTTGGATTCCACGGCATGCTGACAAGAGGAGTGACACATGGCGGGAACTTTAGACTTTTGACGCCTGGGCTGTTTTCCACTTCCCTATTGATCCCGAGTCTTTGCATTTCGACTGACTGCAGTAGCAGGAGGTGAAAAGAAAAAGCAGTTGTGGGAAGAAGCAAAGTACGTAACACCGCCTAGAACTGTTGAACCAATTGCATGTAACGAACGGCTTTTCCTGTCGGCATGTCTCGAGTCCACCTCTGAATTCCACTGCATCATCAGCGGGGGACTTGCCCCATTCAAAACCTCGGTCTTCGGCTTGGCTGCGTGGGCTTGCTCGCATACGGCTTGCATTGGTGTGTCCATCTCCGATCTTTTCTCTTGCTGAAGAATGGTGATGTGGAGGGTGGCCATGTTGTTCTCATACTGAGTACTTTTGACCACCTTCGAGCAGTATTTAACAAGGTTGAAGTTTGCAAGACAGTTGAATTAACTTAACTTATACGGTTCAATGATTGGAGTAGTCAGCAACTTTCACCTAACTAACGTTACTAGGTAGAAAGCTAGCTCTTTCCGCCTATCGCCGATAGGCCAAGACCGACCGCATTTCTTTGCTGTCATCAACTCTCCCGTCACTCGAACCTAGACCTCCAAGACGACTTTTCGGAGCACCAAGTATAGTTAGTCACTGAACTGGTCAACACCCCTGCACTTTTGCATGTCCAAGCCTCCAGACAGATTCCGTCCAACTTAACCTAAAGACAACGATCTATCTTCTAGTAGCAGCTGTGCGGCACGGACCAACATTTATCGCATCCTGTAAGCGACCGCCACCACCACCATCACCACCATCACCACCTTCCCCACTGCATCGTGAAGCAGTGAGGGAGCTCTGTATGGAACCGCTTGTCGGGCGCTACTGTACTCCGTACTCGAGCTAGCTGTACGAAGCCTCCTCCGAGGCCCAGCCAACGACGAAAGGATTGCGGTGGGCGACTGACTGGGGTTCAAACGGTTATCCTGCATGAAAGCTCTCAGAACCCCCAAGACAGACAGACGGGAACAGGCCCTGCCTGAGTATCCTTTTCTTCAGTCTTTCAAGGTTTGGCTGCATGCATGTCTGGCTTTTTTCCTAACTTCCTTTCCTCCTCGGCCCAGTCTCAGTCTCTTCTCGCATCTCATCACTGGCCCGCTGAGCCCGATCCGACTGTTGGACTGTTGAGATATCCATGAAATAACCCCCTCCCCTTATTGTTTATTATATTATTGTTATTACTACTCCGTATTATTGCATGGCTTCTTACTTCTTGGATCTTCTTCTCTGTTGGTGTCTTATGACCTTCTCCTATCCGATTACTATCTTCATTACTCTTGCTTCTCAACAGAAACTGGCTTAAATATCGGAGTTCCTACTACTCCGAAAATCGATTTTCATTCTTGTTTGTTTTTCTTTTTTCTTTTTCTTTTTTTTTTTTCATCTCTGTCCATCCCTCTTTTTCACTAACCACATACCATCCATTAGGTACTATTTTATGCTTAACTAATTTAGGAGAGTTCCATCGGGGCCCCTTTTTTATTCTGGAATTTTACTACATACATCCATCCATCCATCCTCTCTCTTCAACGTCGCTGCTTTTGCCTTGACACCGGATTATTTTCACTTTGCACTAGCGGGGCCATTCGATAAGTTACCAAGAACTCAGCCGGGGTGGTAATTCACTTCTGGCCACCGCTCCATCGCTCAATCTCTCGATTGCTCAATCATCAATTCATCAATCAACCGATCTCCAATTATTCTAATTCTCGCCTTACCCACTACCACACTACCACCATCGCCACATATCCCGCACCTCACCTTTTTTTGTTATTTTCTTCAACATGAGCGCCGACAATGCCCCTCCACATGAAATTGATGACAGTATCATTGAGCCGGATGTCAGTGACTCTGCCAAACTTTAACCTTTCCCCCTCCCACCCAAAAAGCCCCGACTAGATAGCTAACCCGCAGGTGCTGGCGGGACAGGACTTCGATGACAATGACTCCACTTATCCCGACTCGTAAGTTTTCCAGCCCACGAGACTGACGTCCGCCGTTCCGTTGGTTCGCGCTGGATCACTACCACTACAACCCTTAACGAGAACCATGCTAATATTTTCCACAGGCTGGACGATGCTAGCTATACTTCCAGTCTCGAATCGAGTGTTATGAACTATAAGTATGTATTTTGAATAAAGACAAGAATTGTTATTTCCAGCCCGAGCTAATACGTTTCCCAGCTATGAGGTACTTCTAGGTTTCCTCGTCGCCTCATCTCCTCGTCCTTTCGCTAACTAGGCTCCTTTTCCTTCCCAGAACGGTCGCAGATATCATTCCTACCATGAGGGTGAATATTTTTTAGTATGATACACTCCTTCCGCTGCGAGGGCCCTGAACGCTCTCGACGCAGTTCAACCTCGGACCTCGGAACGTCCATACTGATCAGTATTGCAGCCCAATGACGAGCAAGAGCAAGATCGCCTCGATTTGGTTAGTACACCACGCTCACATATACGCACACATCTCCAGCGGAGAAGACCGAGGGAAGCGGCGGAGATCCGCACAACGAATGATGGATATTAATCAGACGACACTGGATACAGAGCCATCACATCTATAGCATGCTCCTGAAGGGAGAATTGCACCGGGCGCCTGTCCAAAACCCGGCTCGCGTCCTGGATCTGGGCACGGGCACGGGGATCTGGGCACTAGACTTTGCGGAGTAAGTCGGACTCCTACAATTCTGCGGAGAGAACCACAGACTTGAACTTAGGCTGCAGCTGCAGTGGAGGAAGGGCGATCTGGGAAACGAAGTGGCTAATACGGTGCATCTTCCGGCAGTGCGAATACGGGATCCGAAGTTATCGGTAAATCCAGCTACCCACCTAGTCTTCTATGACCGCGCGCTTTGTTCTTAGGGTAAAACGATGTGACTGACCTACTGGGGCTTTTTCTTTTCTGGATACAGGCAACGACCTCAGTCCTATTCAACCATCATGGTAAGTACTCGCCCCTGGGCTTTATCTTTAGCTCCGCCCAGCCACCAAAATCCAAACACCCAGGGTTAACATCCAGTCCAGGGTCCCCCCCAACTGCCGCTTCGAGGTTGACGACTTCGAACAGCCCTGGTCCTACAGCAGACCGTTCGACTACATCCACGGCCGCGAGCTCGAGGGCTGCATCCGCGACGTCGACCGGCTGATGGCGCAGGCGCTCGAGAACCTGCGGCCGCGCGGGTACTTCGAGATCGCCTCGATGGAGGTCAACACGTACTCGGACGACGGGACGCACCAGAAGGCGACGACGCTGCTGGAGGGGATCAAGTTCATGCACGACGCGGCGCGGAAGCACGGCAAGGACTTGCAGAGCGTGCTCGGGTGGAAGGAGAAGATGGAGAAGGCGGGGTTCGTGAACGTGCGGGAGGAAATTTACAAGGTTAGCCCCTGACCCTGAGTCCCCTGGACCTGTAGGAAAGCTCTTAGGGGACTGGCCATCTTGTTCGCATCCGTTTGGGGCAGGCCAAATTCCAGATCGGCGGGCATATGATAAGCTAACTGGATATATGACGGGTGACAGCTCCCCCAGGGCCCCTGGGCCAAGGATCCCAAGATGAAGGACCTGGGCAAATTCCACCAGGTCAACATGCTGGAGGCCATGGGCCCTTACTGCTACGCGCTGTTCACGCGCGTCCTGGGCTGGCAGCAGCCCGAGATCGAGGTGTTCGTGGCCGGGATCAAGAACGAGCTGCGCGACCCCAGCATCCACCTCTACACCAAGGTCCATGTCGTGTATGGGCAGAAGCCGGAATGACATTTCGTGTGGTTGGGTGTGCTGGTTTTTGTAAAGTGGTGGCCTTCGTGATGATGACGTTGATGCTGATGACGTTGATGATCTCGTGTTCCTCCCCCTGCCTGTGATGATGATTTAGCGTTGAGCTACTATTAATGAGAATGACTACTATTTTTACGATACTGTTACTACTGTAGTTGCGCTGGGGCTTGGGGTAAGTGGGCGTAGATGATTGTCGGGGGGTAGATGGAAGCGCGGAGTGAGGTGATTACTGTACGGTACACAGCTGGTGGGGACTTGAAGGGTGGTCAGGATGACATAGATGCCCTCCTCCGCAATCTGCCTTCAACCATGCAGCATCAAAACCAGGCGATAAGTGCCGAATCCCCCTGTTCCAGGGCCTGTAAATTATAGGTTGAGAAGCAAAAAGAAGCTGGTCCCAGAGGGGCTCGAACCCTCGACTTTAACGTTATTAGCGTTACGCTCTAACCAACTGAGCTATGGGACCCAGTTGATATCTTGTGCTTCGTGTTTAGCTGTCACAGGGCTTGTATAGCAGCAGTGAGAGTGTGCACGCCTTGTGTGGAAATGGACCTAATACCGTGGCCAGCAGGACTGGAGAGAGCTGGTCATTGTAAATGACTTGCCGGATTAGCAATTGACAGATGGCTGGTTTGTTGGATGACCCACTTGTCTTGGTAATCACTAGTGGTGTATCCGACCGAGCCTTCGGGAGCTGCGTCATAGGCAAAGATGGGTTGGATGAGCTACTACGGAGAGGGAAGTTCACCTTCTGATCATCATACCAACTTTCAATTTTTGTTCTCCTGTTGTGTTCTATGGCAATAGCCATGCTAGTACTACTCCGGTATACGCAAGCAGAAGACCGAGATACTGAACGAACCAGTCAGATATATATCCCATCTAGTTGCAACTCCATACCCACACAGCCAAGAAGTATATATAACCTTTACCCCCAACAACCCACCCACAACCAATGTACAATACAACCCCCAAAGGAAAAATCACAACTTCAAGTTCCCACTCCTCCCCCCGGCAGGAGCAAAACTCCCCTCTCCACCCCCAATCGCGGCCACAATCGCATCCACACTCTCCAGAACCCACACATTCCCCGCCTCACTCGCCAACCACTCCGCCCCCGCCTGCGTCTCAACATCGCCCGCCCAGCTCCCATCCTCCACCGCCTTCCGCAACCCGAACACATGCGAGGTCACCTGCGGCCCGACGCCCGTCTGCGCCCGCAGACACGCCACGGCCACCAGCGAAGTGAGCACCCGCCCGACCCTTCCGTTGCCCGGAGGATCCGCCAGCAACGCCCCGTAGTTCATGTTCAGGATGTGCACGGGCAGGTCCGGGTGCGCGCGGGCCAGCTTCTCGTAGAGCTTCTGCTCGAAGGGCCGGTAGATGCTGTCCCAGAGGGCGCGGCCGCGGGCGCGGATGGCCGGGATGCTGGCCGGGGTGGGTTCGCGGGTCGGGGCCGTGGACAGTTGGGCGGTGATGGATTCCGGCAGGCTGGCGCGGAAGGCGTTGAGGCAGTTGATCGTGCGCGGGATGCCGTTGAAGCTGATGCATTTTAGGCCGACTTCGCGCATGAGTTCGGCGGTTGCGAGGGGGGAAGGGGGTTCGGTTGTGGGCGAGGTTGAGGTTTCTGTGGGGGTGGTGGTGGCGAGTTCGTAGAGGAGGGTTAGGGAGTCCGGGGAGTTCATCGTCATTGTTGTTGCTGTCTATTTTCCGGGGTGTTAGTCTGGGGTACGCTGCGGTACGGGGGAGGGGGCTGGAAGAGGGGGCAAGACGCACCGATAGGGCCAGCCATGAGGGTTGCGAGATGCCCTTGGCTTGGGCTTCTTGTTGGATCTTCGCGTACACCGACTGGATGTTGCGGGGGGCTGGTAGGGTGTTGGGTCGCGCGGCGGGTGAGTTGATGAGCGCTTTGAGCGCGGGGGACATTCGTGACATTTTTTCCTCCGCTTGGGTGAGCCGGTCAATTTTGTGCCAGGGGGGGTGTGTGTCTCGTTGTGGTGTGGAATTGATGCTTTAGAGGTTGGGGATGAGCCGCGAGTCTTATCTAGGGACCTCGGCTGCCAGATGTGGTCGCCGAGAGGGCCGGATGACGCCGTGGTGTGGGTCCCGGCTTGTCTTATTCCGCCAGTTGAGGACTGCACACTGAGTACGGAGCTCCGTATATGGAGTAATTTATTTCATTAAGCAAGTGACTAGACTAAGACTTGGTGAGTCTGGTGTTCTATAGCTAATGTAGAGAGATAGATCAATCCAGATGCAGTAGAGTACTTCTTACCATACGCGACGTAGTTGAGGCGTTGTCTCGATGCCTCGGAGGAGGACACAGTGCATCGTGCATCGCGACAGGAGGAATGCTTTCGAGGGTCTTCCGGTCAAACTGGAACAGCTAGTAGTGACGGAGTGCAGTCGAGGGAATTGGCGATGACAGGACATATGTACTCCGCGACGGACAGATGCTGCAAGAGAGTGTCCGAGGAAAGCCTCCGAGTCAGCGACGGTATGATTCGGGACAAAGACGACATGAGCCAAACAGCGGAGGGGGATCGCTCTCGCGAAGAGTCACCACTGCTTCATGCAGAGCCCCATCTCAGGCCGTCATCATTTTGCTCTCGATGTCCCCGAGCTCAACCCATATCTTCGCTCGATACATCCGTGACCAGCAGTGGGCGAGACATTGCGTGGTGGCATACGAATCCGGGTAGACGGCCCATGTGAGATGGATTGAAGAAGTGCAGTTGCGGCAGGTTCAGCGCCGTGAACTGTTGCAGAATGGTTGGGATCAGCGACTCCCTCTTTTTCTTTGAAGCCAAAGCGCCAATTCGTCGCTTTGCGCCGATTGACTTTTTCTATGGCCCAGCCAAAGGGCGTTATCTGCTGCTATGACCCTGATGTAAACGAGGCCCATCTTCCTTGAGATACTGGCTGCCTTCAATAGGGTTCCCCCGCTGGCTTCACGGAGAGATGTATACCGTTACACTCCCGCTCGGACCGTGTAGATAGGATCCGAGAATGGGTGAAGCTGAGGGCGCCATGCTGTTAAGACCACTGGGTCGGGATCGGGACGGGAGAAGAGAGCCAAGAAGAGACAAGCAATTCCCCAGCGCCACTGCAGGGCTTACGCCTCTCAAACACGATAAATAGATTCTGTTCCTAGTCTATCACTCCGTCGTAATCATCTCATTCCAAGCGACGATGAGAATCTCCCCAGCAGGCCGTAGTCGCGTTGATTGGCACTACAGCCCGCCCCCACCGGTTAGGGCTACGGAGATTAGTCGCGGATTTTACCCCCTCGACCGAACAACCCAGTAAGAGACTCGGTCTTCCCTTCCGGTATCCAGCCTTGTTAGTGACTTACGGCCGGTCTGTCTAGGTGTCTGAATCTCCGTCGGTGGTTCCTTTAGGAAAACATGAAAGATTGGTATACTAGGTTAGTTAGTAGTATATTACCCCCTCCCACAATCCCAGGCGCTACAGTACCAACCTCCCCCCCTTTCCCCAGCCCAAAACCAAGGTCAAAGAACTTCTTCCCCCCAAAATAGAGTCAAACAGAACCACTCAATACTCAATTCCTAATCTAAAAACCGACCATGTCCCTCTTCCCAACCACCCTCCCCGCCCTCCCCCTCCGCGAAGCGATCGTGGACCCGCTCTACCGCGCCGTCCTCTCCTACGACGACAACAACCTCCCCCTCTTCGAGTCCGCCTTCTTCGAGGACGCCGTCCTCGACTTCGACGGCCGCGTGATGGAGGGCCGCGCGGCCATCAAGACCGGCAGCTGGGACCCCGTCGCCCCGCTGGACACCACCCACTTTTTGAGCAATGTGCGCATCAACCTGCCGGCAGAGGATCGTGGGACCGCGACCGCGACCGCGACCGTGACCGCCTCGGCGTTGGCGCAGCATTTCCGGGCGGGTCAGGGGAATCAGCCTGACACTACTCCGTTGACGAGCGGGGCGCTGTATTCGGTTGAGGTGGCGAGGGACTTTGCGGGGTGGATGGGGAGGGGCAAGGAAGTGGTGGTGGGGTGTGGAGGATTAAGCGGTGGAGGATGCGGTTGGTGTGGACGGAGGGGGATTGGGGGGTTATGACGGGGAACTAAGGTAGTAGGTAGTAAGTAACCTTGAAGGCTGGAAGGGAGAGAGGTGGTGGGCTGGTGAGTTCTTGTTGCGTTTGGGGAGAGAGAGGAAAGGATACTACCTAGGTGCTACCTTAGTTATCGAAGTGAGGAAAGTACACTGGGTAGTATAACTGCTGGGCTTGTAGCCTGAGAAGGCATGTTGGCTTCTTCTTGTAGGCCTGTAGTAAGTAATAGGACTGATTTATTGTGCCTATCGATTGCTACACATCCAGGCATAACCTGCTACACTTGACAACTGGACTGCGGTGCTATTTCTGTGTAGATCCGGCAGTGGAGATTCATCATGTCCCTCTGGTGCAGCACTACCTCAATAATCCAGCCCATTATTCCATCGCAAGGCGTACGTGCAACAATGGCAGTCGAATCCAAACTGCTCTTCTGCCAGGCTGGACCGGACTTTCTCGTACTCGAGCTGCACGCCCACCAACCGAAAGGCATCATCGAAACACATCTTCGCATTGAGGGCACGATGCAAGATCTCGCTCCGAGAAAACTTGGCCGATTGAACCGTGCTGCTCACCCCCCAGCGCAGCACGGTGTTCCGCTTCCGGCGCACCCACACCTCGTTGTCCGGGATCGTGCCGGGCTCCGTGGCGCACTGGAAGACGACGTGCGGCGGGACCGGTTGGTTGTCGGTGAAGGAGGAGGGTAACGGCGCCGTGGTCAGCGTGATGCTGATGAGGGCCGGCTTGCGCGAGGTGGCCGGTAGGCTGAGGATCCGGTCCCGGAGGGCCAGGCCTAGGTTGAAGGCGGTCGTGGCGGTGAAGGTGCTGAAGATTAAGGCGGGGGAGGTTTCGTGGGCGGTTAAGGTTATTGGCTTTTTTTTTGTTAGTTTTTTTGTTTTTTTGGGATGGAAAGGGGGGGATTGGGGATTGGGATGGGGGGTTTGAGGGGCTGGTAACGTACGTCGGTGCTGACTTGGGTGAGGGGTCGGTCTTCCATTTTGGTGGTTGTGGTGGTTTTGGATTGGTTTGGGTCTGGGTATAGGTTCAAGGTAGATTGGTGGTGAGGGTTTTTTGTTTGGAGGGTAAGAGGTGAGGCCGGGTGAAGTCAACAGTGACAAGCTGGGATGGGGGGTTTTATACCTATTGTACGGAGTACCGGTGTCCCGTCTCCACGTCCCAGGCCTGCATCGGGGTTCGCCCGCGGGGAATTGCTAAGAGAAAGGCAGTAGGAGTAGTTAGGGAGGAGGGAAGGTCCAACACGAAGAAAAGTGGATCAGGGCCGATGACGTCGGAGTTGCGGTTCCGCGGTTCGGGATTGGAAGGTGGACTTTGTTCTGGTCTTCGGTGAGAATAGAGAATTGTGTGTATATGTGTTTATGAATAGTGCATCTAGTAGTGTAGTATGTGGTAAGTTAACGTTAATGTGTAGTACTAGGGAACGAAAGGAAAGGAAAGGAAAGGGTGCATAGTAACTATCATCTGCATTGCTCCGCTTCTTCCCCTCTTTCCTCTCCTCTCCTCTCCTCTCCTCTCTCCTCCTGTCTCCTCCTCTCCTTACAACGCTTCGCTCAATCATTTCCGGTAGCAATGCGCCACCTCGTCAAAAAAGCCTGTGATAAATGCATTGCCCGCAAAATCAAATGCAGCGGCGCTCGTCCCTGCGACGCTTGTCGCCAGAATCCCAAGCAGGTCATTTGCACCTACCTCAAGCCCGTCCGGCGCAGAGGTCCCAAGGTGCGACGATTGTCGACTCCCAAAACACATGCAGCCCCCCAGTCCCCAAGTCCCGACGATGCTCCCTCAAAGCACCGCACTACAGTTCCTCTGGTAGCGCTGGCGTATGTTGTTCAGCTATACCGGCAATCCTCCTACAGCGTCTGGCCGGTCATCGATGCCCCCGCCCTCCTCGAGAAGCTCAAATCAGCACCGCCAGTCGACACTCTCTGTCTAGCTCTGGCCCTCTCTGCCGCCACCATGGCTCAGTTGCAACTGTCACCACTGCACACTTCAAACGTCACCGTCGACTGCACGACCCTGGCAGCCGAGTGCATGAGGCTGCGGGACGCGAGCTCCTATCGAGAGCGCCCCGACGTGCGAAGTGTCCTCGCTTCGTTCTTCCTGCATGTGTACCACGCCAAGATCAACCGACGCCACACGGCGATGACCTTCATACAGGAGGCCATCGGGGGGGCTCGGCTTTTGGGTTTGGATGCCGGGGGCATGGCCTGCGATTATGATGTGGTTGCCAACCAGGAGGTGGTATTTCTCCTGCTCTGGATCTCGGAGAGGTAACGGTGCTGTCTGCCGGAGGGTTGCCGTTATTGACCGTTCGCAGGGGCTATGCTATGCATCTAGGGCTACAACCGTCGTATACGCTTCCCGTCGTGATCCCTGATCTCGGTTCCGAGGGTAGTGCAGAGTTGAAGGGCTTACTGCAGCTGGGCCAGCTGTTTGCAACCTTCGATGTGACCTGCAGCGGGCGTGAAAGTGCAAGCACTCCGGAGTGTCTGGCAGAAGCCGAGGCAACATTGGCAGTACTATCTCGAGGGCAAGAGGGTGGCCCGTCAACGCGTCGGGCGGACTACTGCATCACTAAAGAATGGATGCGCACGATGATCTGGCAGAAAGCACTGTCGCAGCGGCTGCTCTCGTCGACTTCTGGTACGGAGCTCATGACCTTCCGCTTTCCTGCAGTCGTCGGCCGTTCTCTCCTCTGCTCTCTGCAGGGGTTTACCGAGTCGGACCTGCTCCCATTGGGTCGGGATCAGGTAAGCTCTGCCTGGTTCAAAGATTGGGAATCACGCTGAGAGCGGGCAGTTGTTGAAGTGCTTCGAGGTGACGAACTCACTAGCGGATATCATCCTGCTGGCTGGGTCGAGCGCAGTGCACTCGACCTTGCAGTGGAGGCCGCAGGACTTTCTGCATGCTTTGTACCAGAAATTACTGCCCTTCCTGGAGCAAGACCCCATGCTGAAGGCATTGCTCCGGGCTAAGACTGCTGAAGCTTTGGTCAAAGCTCCTGCGCGTTTGTTGGGCCTCGGGCATGGTGATAACAGGCTTGAAGAGCAGATCTTGAGCTGTCAGACGGAAGAGTCTGAGGAAGCTAATGTGGAAGATTTCTTCACCACTCCATGCCGAATTGAATCGGTCATCTGATTTGAAGTGGCTGTCTACCTATGCTGCACAGAATATTCACACCTTCAGCAAGATGCTGGCTCACTCTGATATCTGGAGCACAATTCTCCCCGCAATATCGCCCTTCTCCATTTCCTCATAAACTTGAGGCAAGTCCTTGAACGGTCTGACCTTGATCTCAGGCTTCACTACCCCGCGACGGACTAGATCCACTGCCTCCATACATTCTTTCAGTGATCCGACCAGGTTGCCGGTGATCCGAAGCCCTTTGATCACAATGGTGGCGATCGGCGTTTGCAAGGTTGGCCGCCCTGGCGGGATTCCCACACAGCTCAGAGCCCCTCCGACTCGTAGCATCTCGCACGCATGAGCGAAAGCTTTGGCGCTGCCAGCGGTTACCACTGCCGCATGGGCGCCAAGTCCGGTGATCTCATGGACGCGCTGGACCGGGTCCGTTGTGGTAAAGTCAATGAATTCGACGGCGCCCAGCTTGAGGACAAAGTCCCGCTTGTCACCGGCATCTACGCCAATGACAAGTGCTCCTTGTGCTTTCGCATATTGCACTAACCAGTCAGCATTCTATGAGGATGCTCTGCTCCGATACAACTCACCTGCCAAGTGCCCGAGGCCTCCCCCTGCGCCGACCACCACTAACCAATTGCCCGCGCGGATGTTTGCATTGAGAACAGCCTATACAGTCAGCGATATACTTGTGGCGAGTGAGGTGAAGTACCTTGTAAGCCGTCACACCAGCGCACAGAACGGGGCCAATGACTTTAGGATCGATATCATCCGGCAGGATCGTCAAGTAGTCAGCATCCAACGCGATGTACTCCTGGAAGCTTCCATCCTCATGATGGAGATGGTTGGTGCTTTTGATGCAGTACTGCTCGGTTCCAGCCAGACAAAACTCGCATCGTCTGCAGATCCGACTTGAGAATCGTATTCCGACAAGCCCTCCGACCTTTAGGTCTGTTCCACACCCTGGGCCGAGCGCCACAATCCGTCCCACGCCTTCATGGCCGCCCACATGGGGGATCTTGATGTTTGTGATGGGTGTGCCCTCGGACGAGGCAGCTGTGCCATTCTTTGTGTGCAAGTCTGCATTTCATGGATTTTAGTATGGGTTTATCATCGAAACGATGTACTCACCACTCTGGCAAACCCCTGTGTATAGCACTTTGGCGAGAACCTCATTGTGGCCCGGTGTAGGAACGGGGTAGTCCTCGCGGAACTCGACACTGCCCCCGAGTTCGTTGACCAGAGCTACGGTCTGGTTTTGCGGGATGGATTCCACGGTCATTGCTGTTGCAACAAGAAGATTGTTTAGTATGAGCTGACGTTGAGAATTTGTTCTGGTGGGAGGTTTAAGTAGACCTGGCGGTCGTCCAATTTGAGCTTCAACCGGGTTCGATTCTGCGACCTATGATGCTATTTCTCCGATTGGCTTGTCTTTGCATTTTGCATTGATTGAGCTCTGCAGACTGTGTATTTCTCCGAGGGGCCCAAGCATTGCATGCGGAGAAGAGGTCAAGTCACGGGGTGGTTGATGGTTGCTTGCTTTGTCTATTCGTGTTCTTCCCCGCCTTTTGCTCTTCTCCTCACTCCATGCACATCATACTCCTTTGCCATCTACCAATCTATGGACTACCCCTCACGGTGGCTAGATGCATGCATCATGCAGCAATTCTCCGAGGGTTTTCTCCGGTTGCCTTACCAAGCAATGACAAGCTTTGTGCATGCTGTTCAGGACTACTTTTGGAGTCTTGTCTGGCTCTTCACCCCACACCCTACGCAATGGTTCGAGATTCCAAACTTGGATGCTGCGATAGCCACTTGAATTAATGGCTCTGTTTTGACCTGAACGGTTTCTCCGTCGCCTTCAACCCTCATTGTCATTGATACAACGATTGTCTCTACAGCTACGATAGTCTCTAACACAAGCCATCAAGATGCCAGGCTTGTCTTGTGACTATGGGTCATACATCTCAGCTCGATCTACTCAAACTTCGACAATCTATGTCGATGTCTTAAGTTTGCCGTTGTTTTCTTCAGCTCTATCATTCGACAAGGCAGATGGCTGAGACGAACATCAGCCCCTCTAGACACAATAAATATAGTGGGCTTTTTCAGAGCTGTACAAAGCATAAGGCCTACTTCGAAGGGATCCGATCCGGGACAGCAACTTGACAAAAAGGTTGGCTCTTTGTCAAATCAAACAATCTTATTGTCCTTCCTCGGTTGATCGGTGTTTATCAAGAACTAACGACAGTATCGACATCAATCCCAGTTTGCAGGCAATCATGGAGAGTATAAATGCTACGCTACCGAAGCACTCTGCCTCGCCGGCCCATACTTCCATCGCCATCTCCCTCACACCTCTGTTATTGACACCTCTTCCGACACCCTTCTGGCGCCTTTACGCATACGTGTTGTAGAAATCCCAAAATGGAGTCTTGTAGACCTGCAAACCCCCCCAATCCGGAGTCGGGCGAGTCAGCCCCTCCCCCCGATCTGGAGAATATGCCCGTAGAGCTGTTCTGGCAGATGGCGCAGCACCTCCCGGTTGAAACCCTGACCAGCCTCCGCACCGTATCCCGGAAGGTAAGCGCCAAGGCACTGCAGCCCTTCGCGCAGTGCGGCTTGCGCACTCTGTCGATGACCCTCGATGCGCGGGGCTACGACAAGGTGGACGAGATCGCCAACCACGAGTTCTACCACAGATTCCCCCAGCGGCTGGCCGTGTATCCGCCGGAAGCCCCGTGCGACAGCTTCTGGACGGATGCGGCGCTGCGCAAGCTGGGCCAGACCCTGGAGCACCAGCTGGCGCGGTGCCGGGAGATGGTGCTCTACTACGGCGCGCCGGACCAGGCGGACCGGATGGACGACATGCTGAGCCTGCACGCGCTGTGCCGCATGCTGGCCGTCAGCCAGATCCCGCTCCGCTACCTGGTGCTGTTCCGGCGACAGGCGCCCGAGCGCCGCGCGATCCAGCTCCTCGACTGGCCCCAACCGTACCTGCCGCCAAACATCTCGGGCATCTGGACCGAGCTGCGCCAGCTGCACGTCTACGAGCCCGAGGACAACGGCGCCATCGAGTACCTGCGGGTGTTACTGCCGGAGATCCTGCAGAACGCGTCGCAGCTCGAGGAGTTCAAGCACGTCGTCTCGCCGCGAGTGTTCTTTCGCTCCTACGTGATCCCCCTGCGCTGCGCGATCTGGGCCGGCGAGGATCCGTCGCTGCGTACGCCCGCGCCGCTCAAGCGGGTCGAGGTCGCGGGCTCGTACATCAACCTCGAGGACCTGATGGGGTGGCTGGGAAGGTACGGCCCGACGCTGGAGCGCGTGCAGATCTGCGTGACGTACGCCCACGGCAGTGCTACGCTGTGGTCGGAGGTGCTGAAGCATATGAAGGAGGTCTGTCCCGTGCTGCAGTATGTGTCGGTCGTGACGTGCCGGCGGTCGCTGGGCTGCGTGGAGTCGGAGGACCGGGGCCAGATATTGGAGGCACTGGACCGGATGATTGAGACGGCGGAACATGCGGGCATTTAGGTTGTAGCCGTGTTCGTAGCCGTAGTTCGTAGCCAGCTTTCGTAGCCAGCTTTCGTAGCCAGCTTTCGTAGCCAGCTTTCGTAGCCAGCTTTCGTAGCCAGCTTTCGTAGCCAGCTTTCGTAGCCAGCTTTGAAGCGACGTCACGGATGTAGATCGTACCTCCTTTGCCGTATTTCATACATCAACATGATTGAGACTGATCACAACTCATCACAGTTCGCTCTCTTGTCTCTTGTAGAAAAAAGTATTGCATTGTAAATGCGTAGCTCGCGTCTCCTTTCTCCACACATCCACATCTTGCTTACTGTAATGACCCAACAGCTCAATATCAAACCAAGACTGAACCACAATCCATTCCTTCAACCAAAGACTATAGTACTTATCAATCTCCCTCTCCAACCTATACCCACCCCTACCCCTATCCCTACCCCTACCCCTAACAATGAACAAACAAAGAATCCAAATGTAAACCCCCATAACCCAAACAAACAACACACCCCCCTCCCCCACTCCCCAAGACCATCCCCCATCCCCCATCCCCC